GGGACTGTGCAGTGGGTGGAGGTCTTTGTGCCTTGTTGTGTCCACTTTACGTGCTCTAAGGTCCATCTATGTCATAGCATGCGCCATTTCTTTTATTCTTTTTATGGCTGAGTAATATTCCATTTACCAGGTAAACCACATTGGGTTCCTTCACTTTATTATAATAAGGAATTTTTAAGATACCTGGCGCTATAAGCTGTCTTTGAATGCGTGTGTCCTGACACAGTGACGCCTGGAATACTGGCTGGCCCCTTTTCTCTGTGCTTTCTTTCCTGCCTCAGGGGTCTTGTCTCTCTGGCCCTTGTCTCTCCAGTGTCTGCTCTTGGCTGGGATGGGAGACCCATGGGGTGTCTGGAGTTTTGGCTTCTGCTGTTCCACACGCTATCTTTGCCTGGAAGCAGGACGTCTGGAGTCGCTGGGGAGCAGGGGAGTCCACCACTGGATCTTGGGGGCCCAGGAGAATCCCAAGCCAGGGGCCCCATGTCTGGGGGTCCAGGAGGTGGGGTGTGGGCTGGTCGAGAAGGAATCTGTCTTTCATTTCTGATGGTCTTTCAAAAACACTGCCCGAGCCCTGGATCCTGTGGCCCCCTTTCCAGTCCTGGTGCAGGGGTCCCCGCTGAGCGCTGTCCTGGGGCAAGCCTGCGATATCCCTCAAGGAGACACAGCTGCCCCAGTGAGGGACACCAGCAGGCCAGCCATGCATCCCTGTGGGGCTTCCCTGGCGGCCAGGCTGGGGCGCCTCACTGCCGGGCAGACACAGCCAAGCCTGAGCCAGGGAGGCCGGGGCTCCGCTGGACGCAGACTGCGCTGAGGGTTGCAGAGGAGCAAGGGTGGCTCAGCCTTTTGACCCGGAGCCTCAGCGAGGGCTCTCCCGGGTGACCGCCGCCTCTCCGCCTCCCGCCTGCCCAGCTCGGCGCCTGAGCGCGGAGGCAGCAGCCTCGCTCTGGGATGGCCTGCAGCCCGGGAACCCTCTGGCCTGTGGGCTCCCGAGCCCAGCCTCGCTCGGGTCCTGCTCTCTGACCCTTAGCTGCTCCACGCAGCAGGGCACGGTGTCTAGGGGCACGATGGAGCTGCCCCATGTCCCGGTCGGTCATGGAGACGCTGCCAGCGGCTGGCCAGCCTCAGGCGTCCTCGGGAAGGTGCTTTCTGCCACTGGGCAGGACGTGAACTTCCCCCTCGATCCCTGGACTTATTCTGGGATCACGGACTTGCGAAGGTCGTGAGAGGCTGGGGCTGGCCAGACAGGGAGGCTCCGGCCAGGCCGAGAGCCCGGCGGTCCCTGAGCTGCCCCGGTCCCTGCTCCTTGGGGAGCGGGCGAGGACAGAAGACCCACTGGCTACTGCTGCCCAGCGCTTTGGGATACAGGGGCATGGCAGTGCCCAGCCACACCTCCCCAGGACAGGACGAGGCACGTGGCCCAGGGCGAGGCTCCTGTGCGGGCGCTTTGCTACCCGGCTCAGGTGGAGACCGCAGGGCACTGTGCATGGCAGCTTTGCAGGAGCCCACTTGTCAGGGGCACCCTGAGAAGCAGGGACGTTCTCCGGGCCACCGGGAGCAGCGGCCCCCAGGGCACCGTCCTCGCAAGCCTCCCAGCCAGAGTGAGGACGGCCCTGCCCGCCCCCGCTTGGGGCCCAGGCCTGTGCGAAGGGGTCGGGCAGTGTGCGCATACTGTGCGTGCCTTGGCGGTCACCCTCACCCTCTCTGTTCTAGCAGTGGGAGGGGGGGGCGCAGTGCCTCCCTGATTTATCCCAGGGCTGTGGCGCATGGGGCCAGGACAGTGGTTCTCCTGGGGCAGAGGCAGAGCGGTGTGACCGGCTGTCCCTCCAGTGGCCCCTGCTCCCCACCTGCCTGGTGTGGGGCGGGGGGCCTCCCGGGAGGGGATTCCCGGACTCCTCCGCTGGCCTCCAGCAGCATTAGAATATGAATGAGGACCTTGCCAGCCGGATCCGGGAAGCCCGATCCAAAGGCTTCATCTCCTAAGGCAGGGCCTCGGTTTCCCAACAACTTTAAGCCATTTGGAAAACAACACTAAAAAATAAACAAATAAGGCCCTGGGAGAGTGAGGTTTCTAACAGGGGTGGCTCAGGTGACCGAACAGGGTCCCTCCTGCGCCGTCCCTGCGGGGAGCAGTGCCCACCTTCCCCGGCTCCCTTTGGTGAAAAGGGTGTTCTCAAAGAAGGCTTGCCTTTGTTTTTCAGTGCAGTTTATTCCCTCTCTCTGTGAAGCAGGAGGCTAGAGACCTTTATCACATTTGTGCTTCCAGTGGGAAACAATTATATTTTTGACGCAGTAGATCTTTTTCACCCTGCAAAGCTGCTCCTTTATTCCCTAATGTAAAATTCTAGCTTCAAAGTAAATTCCTAGGCAATTGGCACCAAATAAGGCAGCCAACCTCTCTTAGCCCCGCTCCGGGGCCCAGTCAGGGCTCGGCAGCTGGGCCCGGGCAGGCATTCCTGGCATGGTCGCGGCCCTACCTCCGGGCACTTAGCAACGCCAGCCCTTTGAATTTGTTTAGAACTATTAAGAAGTAATTAAGTCGTTAAAGGGTCTTTTCCAGCCGGGCCAGATTCGGGAGGTGGGCTGGAAGAAAGAAGACGAGTGCTGTAGCGCCGGCTTCCTTTCAGCCGGCCTTGCACGCTCATAAATTCATCCTGTATTTTTCTGCTACTGCCAATTTACGGGCCACGGGAAACTAATCTCGTCCAATCATTGCCTTCCTGTGCGTAGGCCCGACGCAGAGCCAAATGGATCTGGTGGCGGGAGGGCTTCCCGGAGGTTCCTGTGCAGGGTGCTGAGCCCAGCAGGATCTGAGCGGGCCGCTCTTACTGACTCTGACCATAGAATTATGTTCTTGTTCTGGCCGCCCTGCACTTAAGAACAGAAAATAAAAAACAACCCTTGGAACTGCGCCTACCGCAATGACTTCAGCTCCAAGCCGGAGAGGGAGATGCTGGTTCGGAGGGCCTGAGACAGGCCCGGTCCCTGGGGGCCCAGGGAGGGCACCCACAGGGCGGCGGCACCCCAGGAAGCCTTTGGTGAGGCAGAGCCCCGCGCTGCGCTTTAGGAGAGTTGGCAGAGGTGTGGACTCGGTGAGGAGCTAACGAGGGGTTGCTGTCGTCCCGAAGTCAGGTGTGTGACTCGGGAGGAAGGAGGGAGAGCAGGTCCGGCACCACTTTCACTGAGCCACTGCTCACAGCCGCTGGAGGGAGACTAGGGTGGAAAGATGGACTGTCAGCCAGGTGCGGTGGTGCGTGGCTGTGCTGCCATCCCAGCACTTGGGGAGGCTGAGGCAGGAGGTTTACAAGTTTGAGCACAGCTTGGGCAATTTAGTGACCCTGCCTCAAAATTATATGCAAAAAAACCCCCCTCAAAACATTTAAGAAAAGAACTGGGAATTGTGCAGGCTAGGATGGACATGCCACCCCGACCAAGAGACGGGGCAAGTTGAGCCAAGACCGGCGGGACCAAGTGACCATGGCGGGATGGGCTGCGGAGAGGCGTGGTGGCCCCCTGGGCGGGAGGGGCAGCGTCCCAGCCCTCTGGGTTTCTGAGGAGCTCTGCGGGGCTGCCTGAGCTCAGCAGCGGGTCGGCGAGGGCTGCACAGTGCTGTGAGGTATCTAACGACCTAGGGATGGGCGCCTCTATGCTGGTGGCCGTGGAGGACCACGCTGAGGTCCGCGGCGAGGAGACACAGGTGGAGAGAAGTCCCGGCTTCCTCCTGGGTCCCGCAGGTTTCTCCACCTGTGATTCAGCTCTCAAAGTGGGCGTGTTAATCGCTGTCGGAGAATCCGGCCCAGGTTAGGGATGTTGAGCACGAACGGCTAGAGTCCCTGGTGAAGAGGGCCCTAAGGCCATCCGCTCACTTAGGAATTTTATTACTGGGGCCGACTGCCTGCACAGGGGACATCCATCGCGAGGACTGTCCACCGGGCAGCGCTGACCCCGCGGGGGCTGGACAGCGGGGCGCGGCCTCCGGAGGGGCTGGGAGGGGGACGCTGGGAAGTGGCTGCCAAGGGGCCCGAGGAAGGGACCTCGCTGCTCGTTCACGGGACGGGAGCTCTGCCTCGCCCTGAAGGTGGCGCAGGCCCGGCCTCACGCCTGGGCCTCCCCAGTGCTTTGTAGAGCCACGCCCCTTCCCGGCCAGCCTCTGCTTCCTTTGAGCCTACACAGGAGGCGGAAAGGAGGGAACTGAGGCCCCACCCGGCCTGCCTGCTGCAGGGGACCAGGGACAGAGCCTGGGAAGGGAGGGGTGCCTCCCGGGGAGCAGGCTCCGACTAGAGAAGAACTCCGCCTGACTCGGGGCTCCCGGGATGCGGAGGTGACAAGTGCAGGATTCCCTGGGGAGACCTTAGCCAGGCACCCCCTGCCCCAGCCTGGGGTGAAGGGAGAACCCATCGTCCCTGGAGCACTGTGGGCACCCTGGGCATGACGGGCAGATCCCACTCCTTCGGCTTCTTGCTGCTGCCCAGCCAGAGGCCCAGGGCTCACCGTGGGCACGGGGAGCTGGGAAGCAGACCCAAGCCACAAGCAGGCAGGACGCTCACGGGCGACGGGCCACGGGCTCCCTGCGATGTTAGCGCCAACTCGTGCTGCCACCGCTCCGGAGCAAGACTCCCCTGTGCTGCTGTGAGACCCGGGCACTGAAGGGACCCTGCCGAGTCCGGTGGCTTTGTGGTCAGCCCGGGACATCACCCTGGCTCAGGCGTTTGAAGGGAAAATCACCTCAAAGAAGGGTGCCTATCAGGACCGCCCTGCAGGGGAGCCTGTTGTCCCAAGGGCACTGGAGGCAGAGCCGGGACCTTCCCTGCTCCCGAGGGAGGATTCTGAAGCCTCAGCTCCGATCCCACGGCCTCCACGGGCCTGGGGATGGAAGGTGCTGTCTGCTCCCAGAAAGCGCAGAAATTGTCCAGCTAGGAAGTGCTGGAGCTCGGACAGGAACATTTTCCACCTCCTCAGGATACTTAAACATGTCTTACCAGGTGTGACTGAAATACACTGTGAATGTTTAAAGAAAGAAATTCATTACAGTAACAGTTACACTGCCATGAATTTCCTCAAAATCCTCCTCTGGCTTCAGACACACTCATCCCGTCATCCTGGCCGCTTTCTGCAGCAGCTTGGGAGTGCTCTTTCCTGAAGGTCTTTGTGAGATGTGATGAAAAACACAGTGACTGCTGCTGCCGCTCACCATCCAACCGACAGGCAGCTCTAAACACACGACGCTGGGTCCTCGTCCACCGCAGTCACTGGAGCCGGCACTTGTGACTTCTGGCTCCTCCCCAAAGTCAAAATGACTGTGAAAGGGAAATGTTCTAAATCAGTTCAGGACCTCAGGCAGCCAGGACAGTGCAGCTAAAGACCCTCGGGAAAGAGGATTCCAGAGGAGCTGCAGGTGGGATGAGTGTGTTCAAAGCGAGGAGATTTGAGGAAGTGTGTCCTTCCTTCTCCTAAACTTAAAATGTCAAGTCAGTGCATTTTCGATCACACTGCCTAAGTCGTACTGAAATGTGTTCACATCACTTCTGCCACAGAGCTCTACCCGTAGCAGGATGGTGTCAATGACCGAAGACTGTCACTCACCGGGGGAAGCTGAGCGCTGCGACAGAGGAAGGCACCTGAGGAGAGGGTGGACTCGTGGTTCCCAGCGGCAGGAACGGAGAGTGAGGTGGGTGAAAACTCCAGGCGGGAGGAGTGAGTCCCAGGCAGGGGCGGAGAGGCAGCGCTTGCTGTGCACCTCAGCACAGACAGGGACAGGGTTTCGCCTGCTCCCAGCATGAAGGAGTGACACGTCCGCGATGCCGGAGATGCTGGCTGCCCTGGTTTGATCGCTATGCACGGCACATTGCTAAAACATCTCATTGTACCCCATAAATATGTGCGATTATTATGCACCAAATAAAAATAACTGCAAAAAGCAGGCCGGGAGTCAGCGGAGCGCAGGCGTGGAGAGCAGCTGCCGGGAAACTTGGAGGGTCCTTGGCTACCTCTGAGCGGGGCAGCGAGGAGGTGCTGAGTGGCCAGCGGTGCTCTACCGCAGCTCTCCCCTCCGCGACAGAGGGTCACGACCCCTGCGAGGGTGATGGTAGTGCTCAGAGGTGGCGGAGGGACCTTGGCCGGGTGACAGCCTTCCTGGGCTCGAGCTCTTGCCCCCCGAGCTCCTGCCGACTTTGCTCCCGTGGCATGGTGGCTTTGATGACCTCATAGCTGGTGTGCGGTGTCTCAGGGGACTTTGCAGCGCGTCAGTGGCGGCTGCGCTGTGTCGGCGCTGCTGCCCTCCCTGTCCCAGGAGCTCTGATCTCCGCCTCAGCTGTTGACTGAGTTCCGAGGACAGACCTTTCCCTGCTCCTCTGGCAAGGCCCTTGGCCTTTTCAATCCTCCGCAGTCGGCAGCTGGCGGAGGTCATTGTGGATCTCATTGTCCTTTATTTAGGACACTGGCAAACCTTAGGGCTCTGTCACCAAGCGCTGGGCTGGCTGTGGAGAGCGTCCCTGCCTCGCAGCCAGGTTCATGCGATAGGAGCACCTGGGGTCAAAGCCAACAGGCATAGAGAGCAAGGGTGCCCAGTGGGCACAGAGCCTGCGGGTATTGCCCAGGTCATGTCCATCCTCTCTTCTCACGACAAGGCACCAGCTTCAGAAAGTCTGAAATATGTTTGTTTGTTTTTTAGCTTACATTAAGGTAGTTTATTAACAGGAAACAGCTGGAGTCTTGTTCACAGACGGTGAGCTCCCTGTCTGAGGGTGCTGTCAGAGGGGATGGGGTGACATCCTCCGTCCTCGGGTCTTCACGCCCAGGAGAGCAAGGGCTCTAAGGGCTGGTGGGGCACCGGCCCAGGGCTCTCAGTCCTGTTTCCTGCTGTGGCCCGGAGTGTGATACGCAGGGCGGCGATGCCCAACTTCCCGCACCTCTGGGCTCCGTCCCGGGCAGTGGCCTGGCAGTGTGCAAGGAGGATGCATCCCGCTCAGCCTTCCCCTTTGTCCCACCAGCACGTGACAGTGACAGGTGAGTCCCTGGCCAGAAAGACCCGTGACATGGATGAAAGTGTGTGGAAGGACGCGAAGAAGGGGTGGACACCAAATTTCTCTCCCTCAGCCACCTGAGGGCCTGCTCCGCCTCTTTCCTTCCCCGTGAGCTGCTGCTCCGGCCGGCTGTCTCCAGACTCCACCACCAGGAAGAGCGGGTGGAGAGGGCAGCAGGGGGCTTGTTCTCAGCAGAGGTGAGCGACTTTCAGAAAAGTCCCAAAGGCCGCAGAGAATTTTCCCTGAACCTTTGGAGAACAGCGCCCACAGCAACCCGGGGAACTCAGCGTCTCTTGCACGAGCATGTGCTCTGCTGAAAATCACAGCAGAGGCAACGCAGTCAGGGCATGGGCAGGACACACGGCCGCCAGCTCATCCCCAAGTTTGCCCCCAAATGCCCTTAAAAGGATCTGTTCAGGAGACGGGTGTGGCATTTAGCCGGCACATTCATGCATCCCCAACACCGGGAGACCGCTCGCAGCCCCGCCTTTCCAGCCTGCACACGCGACATCCCCCTCGGCCGATGCTTCCTTGCACCTGGTCCAAGCCCAGCATCTCCGGCAGGGCAGCCCAGGAGCCCTGGCCCCGTGCCCTCGGGAGGGCCAACGTCATCTGCCTAGGATGCTGAGTGGGGACAGGGCACTGCTGCTTTCTCCCTTGGTTAGTGCTAAGTACTGGGTGCAAGCAGAAAATGCGGTGTGTTCAGATCTAACAGTGATTACGCCAGAAGGCGGGACGAGTTTGCTGCACTAAGATCGCTCGGGATTTTCGAATTTGCGGCCTACTGAAGCCGGTGCGTAAGCAGGAGCAGCTTTTAACCCAGTTTCCCCGGGAAGCGCACAGGCGCTGTCCTGCGCTGAGCCCGCCACCGCTGCCGAGTTAGACGGCATCGAGGTAAGAGGAAAACTTCAGCTCCTTCCTGGATGACGGTGTGAGAGACTCCGGAGGCCTGGAGTCTCCGACCCCAGTGCACGTCCGTCCGCGGGGGCTTCCGCGGGCTGCGGTTCTCTCGGGGACGGACACTGGGGATCCAAGCTGCAGGTCTGAGACTCGGGAATCTGCAAACCTGCAGTGTCTGGAGCCAGAGGCAGGCGACCTCGGGCCCAGGCCACCTCCCGTCTGTTCACAAAGTCAGGGCAGCAGGAGGAGAGAGGCCGGGGCAGGAACGGCGTGAGCACGAAGTGCCCGGGTACGGGGCGCCAGCAACTGCTGGCCGTGACCTTCCTGCTCACCGCAGCCGCACAGGCAGGCCCCCCTCCACGCAGGCAGCCCCAGGCCCCAGGCCGAGTCAGGTGCCTCCTCACGTGCCCTCTGCAGTTACAAAACTCGGGAGAGGGAAGCCAGGGTGGGGAAGCCACCCTTTCCCACATTTCTCCTTTCGGGGATTTTGGAGAAGGCGGGGACCTCGGCCTCCCTGGGCGTGCGTGCTAACCAGCACTTCTTCCTTCTCAATTCTGCTTCTCCTCAGCCGCTGCAGGAAGCCACCACACTGCCCACCTGTGTCAGAGGTGAACCCCTTCCCCGCCAGGGACCCGCAGCCCCCCACCCCTGACACAGTCAGAAAGATGCGCAGGGGAAAGCTTCTTTTAGCCCAGGTCGGCCGACCCGGCTTCTTACCTTGCCCCTCTGAGGGGTTTCCGCTTGGGGCTCTGAGGCTCGCTCCCAGCCCTGCCCACCTTGTGACTTCCCGTGGGGCCGTCGCCACAACCCTGTTCCGGAACAGCTCTCCCCTCCAGCTCCACGCTGCCTTCTGGATTCAGAGGAAGGGAGGGAGGGAGCGAGCGGGAAGTGAAGTACCTTCTCTTGCCCAATGGACACAGGGAGCCCAGCCTGGCCACGCTCAGGAGCCCCGCCTGTCCGACCCTGGGCCTGCAGGGCTGCACAACCACACAGAGTCACCCTGCCCCCGGCACAGCGGCTCTCGCCTGTCTGCCCGTGGGTCTGGGGGTTGCCTTCGACATAGTCCCAGTACACCCAAGGGCAGGGCAGACCTGACCCTGGGAGGGGTGCTTCCTGGCTCATCCTCTGTGCATAGCTCACATGAGTGCATCTCGAACACACACACACACACACACACACACACACACACATGCACGCACACACACATACACGCACACATGCCCGGCCCTGGGGCCTTCCCTGAGCACCTCACTGCGAGGTGGAGCTTTTCTCACCCTTTTGCAAGCCCTGTCTGTTTACTTTGGGTGTTTTTCTCACCAGCCGCGCTCGTTGACTGCCGTTTCTCTCTTCCTCATTGCGAAGGCTGCACTTAGCTGAACAGGAACTAGCAGAACACACCACGATGTCCCAAGCGACCCTCGCGGGCACACTGTTGCACCACGGCTCCTGCCCTTTCACCTCCTCACACCCGAAGGCCCCCGCCAGGCCCACTCACAACTGAACTGTGCTTTAACGCCACCCGCTGAGAACCGGGAGAGCCCGATGCACCGTACCTTGCGTGTGTGAGTGTGTGTGTTACTGGAGATTGGGCCCAGGGCCTTCCCACCGAGCTATCCCTGGTCCTTTTATTGTTATTATTATTTCCTTTTTGAGGAAAGCTTTCTGTAAATTGCTAAATTGCCCAGGCTGGGCTGGAACTTGCACTCCTCACGCCGCAGCCTCCTAGAGTGCAGGAATGACAAGCAGGTGCCATGCTGTATCTGTCCAGATGTATGTCGAAAGATGTATGTCATCAATCTGTGAAACAAAACTAGAATGCTGTTATTTTCCACTAGTTTCAAGATAGCATTTGCAGTGTGTGCTCATCCAGATGCTATAGGAGAAACTGAAATGACTGCTCGGGTGGAACGGCTGGTCATTGGAAACCTTGACGTCTGCACTGAGACCAAGTCTACTCAAGGGGCGCTCCAGGTACAGGAGGAAGACGGCCAGCTAGACAAAATGGACCCCTGAAATATTTCAAGTTAAACACCTTCACTTTTGGAAGCGGGGATATGAGAAGCCCGAGATTTCTGAACAAGGGCCCTTGTGTTTAGTCACAAGCGATATACTCGGCCCAGGCAGAGGGCAACAGTAGAAAGTACAGTTCCACTCCGAGCAGACACTGGGGGTGGAGCAGGGGCCGAGGATCAGCCCTCCGCGTCTGAGCCCTGGATCACAGGGGCGCTTAGGACCAAGTTGGGTCCCCAGTGGGTCACGGGTCCAGTTCCCAGGGCAGAGGGAACGCCTGTCACTAGTGTCTTGAGATCAGTGGGAGACACCACGATGTGGCTGGACAGGTAGAACTATAAAGGCTCTGTGAATTGCAGGAAGAGCCACTACCAGAGGCCCAGGGCCTCAGGAGGTCAGTGCTGGTCCTGGAAGTATGTGGGTGCTCCAAGCCTGGGACTGAGGGACAGGCTGCAGGGCCTCTGTGGGACGGAGAGCCAAGCCTCAGCTCTCCAGGGCTGCAGAGAGGAAACGTGAAACTCAGCTCAGTCCTAATTTCACTTTTGAGAGGGACAGCGAAACTGTCATTTTCCGGGCACGGTGGCACACTCCTGTAACCCCAGCAGTTGGGTGGCTGAGGCAGGAGGACTGCTGCAAGTTCAAAGCCAGCCTGGGCAATTACTGGGATCCTGTCTCAAAGAAAGAAAAAGAAAAGAAAAGATGTCGCTTAGCACGTAGAGCTCTTTGCCTGCTGTCCAGCTGCCACACGACCAGCGTTCCCCCAGGGATTCTCTGTGCTGCTGGTTTCCTTTCTACTCGGGCCTTTTAACCCTGGGTCTCCGGCTTTGCCAATAAGGAAGCACTTCATTTCCGCCCGAGGAGGGAGAACAGGGCTGGAATTTTATGACAGGAAACACAATTCAAACAGTCTCAGCTCCCCCGGGAGTACGTTTCCTCTCAGAGCTTCAGAGCTGCCACGGGCGGGCCGCCTGGCTGGGTCGGGGTGCTGCACTTGTGTCCCCACAAGGTCGGGCCCCCTCCCTGGCACGACCTGTGCGGCCTCTGGCTCTCGGCCCCGCCTCGTGCGCTGCGAGGTCGGCTTCCTGAGGGCCAGCAGGTGCCCCTGGAAGCCAGGCTCTGCCTCAGCTTCTGCAGCGTCAGTCTTGGATCGAACAGCACTTTCAATGTTCTTCTTCTATTTTCTTTTCAGGAGATGAACCTGAGTTGGAGGAAGGAGTGGGAGCCGTGCAGGGTTTTCCCGGCAAGGGCGGCTGCGTGGACCACTGCCCCCTGCACTGCAGGGCTGGGCTCGGCCGCCTGCGCTGTTCCCGCTATCCCTGGTTCGCAGCAGCAGCCGAGGCTCGGGCTCTGCCCCAGGCACGGGGCACGTCTGTGCAGTGCTAGGCAGGCAGGAAGCCCGAAGGGCCTCCCCCGGCCTGGTGCAGCCGATGAGCCTGTTCCCAGGCTTCAGCTCTTCCCTGCCGGCTCTGCTTGTCGCTGGCTTGGGCTTTGGTGCCAGTAGGGCAGGGCCAGCTCCCCCACTCTGCGAGATGCCCCTGCAAGTTTCCATCCCCACTGCTGCTTGGGTGACCGCCTCCTGTCCCCTGCTCCCCTCCCCCCTGTCCACAGCGTGGTTGGGGGCAGCGCGGCCTCTCTGTGAGGCCCTCCAGGGTTCTCCTGGGTCTGCTGTCCCACCGCAGTGAGGAAGGTGGTACTTGCTAAGCCTCAGGGATCTGGGCGTGCACTGGATGCCGGCCTCAGAGAGGAGACTGACTGCTTGCAGACGGCGGGTTCAAGGGTGCTGTCGCCTCCTCCCCTCGCAACACGGCACAGAGGTCAGGGTCATTCCCACTTCCCTGGGGAGGTCGCGCACAGAAGACCTGATGCCTGCTCGTGCCTCTGGAGGAGTTGCTCCAGGGACATCCACAGCTGAGTCCTCCTGCCTCAGCCTCCCAAATGCTTGGACTACAGGCATGTGCCACTACAGCCAGGCTGTTAGATTACTTCTAACTCTAAACTTCACTTAGATTTCACCAGACTTTCAGCTAATTTTCTTTTTCTGATTCAGCTCTGGTTACCACATGGCACCCAGAACAAGTTAGGATTATTTTCTTCTCCATAAAATTAAAACAGCAAAAATCTCTTCTTAGAGAGTAACAGTGGATGAACTTTATAAGAAGTGGGTAGAATTAATCCATAAGAAACAAGGCAAACTGAGTGTGGTGCACATGCCTATAATCGCAGCACTCAGGAGGCTGAGGCAGGAGGATTGCCATGAGTCTGAGGCCAGCTGGGGTTCATGGTATGTTCAACGCCAGCCTGAAATGCATAGTGAGACCCTGTCCCAAAAAGCCCCAGAAAACCACCCTCCCAAAGCCCAAATCAAACCAAAGCAAACAAAAAACATAAGGCAGTGAGTGTCTTAGGCTTTGCAGTCCATACGACCTCTGCAGTAACTACTCAGCTCTGCCATGATAGAGCAGACAATGACATCAGGTAAGTGTGCATGTGCATACCTGTGTTCTAATAAAACTTTATTTATAAAGATGTGCAAAAGAAAAAAAGACATGTACCTCAATGGGCAAGTTTTGCTGACCTTCAACTTTATTGATCTGTGATTCAGCATCAAACTTGATTTACCAGTCACATACACTCTGCCTTCCCTTACTGGTACCAACCATGTGGGACTTTTCTTTGTACTGCCCTTAGATGAACGCTTGTGTGCTGAAGGATCTACTCAGATCCCTGTACCATGGTGTAGACTGGAAGGGGCCAAACTCCCTTCACTGTTTTCTCTCCTAGGAGCTGTGCTCAGAGATTCCCTGTGAAAGATACTCCCCAGGCATCACAGGGATCCGCGCCGGCCACTTGTGAGAATCATGATGTGAAAGTGCGGACTCCCTGCCTGCGGGCCAGGACTTCTGAGACAACCGTTCAGCCCAGCTAAGGAGCTCCGCGTACCTGGGGGGACTCTGCTGCGGCTCACTGGCTTTTCAGCAGTGACAGATTCACTGCGTGCTCTGAGTCAAGCTTTTATAAAAACGTGGGTTTTATTTTTCAGAGAAGTACTTTAGGTTGAGAGCGAAGTCCAAGAGTCCCCACGTACCCGTCCTGCGCGTGGGCAGCGTTCTGAGCCCAGTGCTCGGTGCTGCTCAGTTCGGGCTGCGCTTGCTCTGCCCCGGGCTGCGCCGGCGTTGAACACCCTGCGGGGTGTGTCTCTGAGGGTTTGGAAGGAGACCCATGCTTGAACCCACAGACTGAGGAAAGCACCTGACTGAGAGAGTGGGTGACCTTCTCCGGCTGGCTGCAGCGTCCCCTCGGTCAGGGGCCCGGAGGGAGCCCTTCCGGCCGGACCCGCTGATCCGGGCCCCGCGCTCCCTCCCTCCCACTGGAGCTGAACACGTGGGCCCAGCCTGTCTCCAGCTGCGCCGTCAGCCTTCCCGGGTGTGCGGGCCGTGGGACTCGTCAGACTCCAGAGACACAGGACCTGACCCCCTACACTACATCTGTCTCTGTTGGCTCTGTTTCTGGAGCAGGGATCCCCAGTCCCCAGGCCAGGAACCCACGCCTGATAAGAACCCATCCTGTCACTGCCTGGCCCTGCCTCCTGTCAGAGCTGCGGTAGCGCTGGAGCCCCTCCGAGAGCTGTGCGCAGCGATCGAGGCTGTGAGTCCTCTGAGGCCTGAGACCCTTCCAGCTGCCGCCCCCAGCCCCAACTACTGCCACAAAACCGGCCTCTGACACCAAAAAGACCGGGGACCTCTGCCCTGGGGAACCGGCGCCCGCACGCTGGCCCCTGCGCCGCAGCACACACTTCTCTCAGTGGGTGGTCTATCCGCACAGGCTTCACCCAGAGTCCACCGTGCAGTCGTGCTTGAGGTCTTTTACCAATTTTTAAAAAGTGTGTTATGTGCTTACTGTTGAATTTTGAGTTCCTTGTGCATTTTGTGTGATAGACCTCTATCAAAAATGTCGTTCGCAAACATCTTCTGCCAGTATTTTAGTGCCCCCGTTTACGGCTTGTCTGTCTCTTCCCACTGTCTTCCTCAGCGTAGAAGGTTTAAATTTTGGCACGGTCGCACTTCCCAAGGGTCTCGCCTGTGACCCAGGCCTTGGACGCTGAGGCTGGAAGTCATCACCAAGCCCACATCATCTCAATTTTCTTTTCTCTTGCGATTAGGAGTTACGTGATTTTGCATTCCAGTTAATTTTCATGAAATATGTCTAGATTTATTTTTTAAATAAGTGCGATGCCCAGTGGCCCTGGCACGCTTTGCGGAAGCTTTCTTCATCAAGCAGCCGATTCCTTGTTGAAGACTGTCTGTGTCTGGGGGCATCAGCTGGCCTCTCCCCTGCTGCGTTGCGGATAGTACTGTCTTGATTGCTGCCCCTGGTACGTAAGCCTTGAGACTGGGAAATCAGTCCTCCCACTTTGTCCTCCTTCAATATTGTATTGGGTTTGTTAATCTCTTAAAATTTTTTTATGAAACTTAGCAATAAAATTTTTTAACCGTATGTCTTTTTTACGACACATAAACTGCATATTGCTTTTAACTGAAATATCATATAGGTGTGTATATAAAATTTGAAAATCTTTACTTATAGGTCTTACTTTCCCCCTCTCAGAACTTCCAAACTGTCATGTAGCTCTAATGCTCTTGTTTTCTAGACTTTCTCTAAGATTTTAATGCACGTGTGCCATCCTGTTTTGGGTTTATAGCTTTACGTAGTTGGGGAAAATGGATTTCCCACAGTTACAAGGTGTGGTTTTGGCATGCTCAGTAAAAACCAAAACAATAGTAAAAGGAATTTCTAAAAATATTCTCCTGCTCATGAATAATCTCGTTTTATTTCCTGGTTGGCCCATCCTCCAGGACACAATCCATCCTCCTGGCGGTGCCCGGGCTCCCTGTCCTAGGATCCGTTTCTAGGGGCTGTGGCAGGACTCCGGCCACCGGAGGTGTCACAGTAGTCTGCAGACCGCTGCCCCCCTTCCCCCACCTCCCCTGAAGGTTTTGGGGTCAGGAAAGATATCGGGCTATCGGGTAGACCGGAAGATGTTATTACAAGTGGGTAATTCACGCTTGTCTAGAGCTTTATGGAGTGGCCGGTAAGATCGTTACGGAAATGAAAGTAAACTTGTCCATTCTGAGGCAGATGCGTAATTTTCAGCCAGTTGTTTTTAATATTCAACACTTTGAGAATCTCCTTGCAATGATGGATTAGATCCCCAGAAAAATGCACAGTTACACAAAAGATTTTGCTTACATTTTAAGGGATCCAAGGACCTGCTGCCCCTCAGAATATGAATCTGGGCTCTGGAACCTTCCTTCCGCATCTCCCTTGTAGTAGGGCACGTGCCATATACGAGCTGTGGTAAGAAAAATAGGATGGATGTTTAAGTTTCAAGTAAATTTATTACAGTAAAAGGCACATTGCCGTGAATCCGCCTCAGAATCCTGCCTCACACCAGACACACTCACTCCACGGTTCTGGCCACTTCCGAGTCCTCTTTCCTGAGTGTCTTTAGCTGTGCTGCCCTGAACCCATTAAAACGTTTCCCTTTTGTGGTCATTTTGACTTTGGGAAGAGCCAGAGCTCACAAGGTGCCAGATCCAGCATATAAGGTGGATGAGGACACAGCGTCATGTTTTACGCGCTGCCTTTCCGTTGGACGGCTATTTTACATGCAGCAGTTACCGTGCTTTTGGTCACATCTCATAGAGACACTGAGGAAAGAGACTCCAGAACTGCTGCAGGAAGTGGCCAGGATGATGGGATGAGTGTGTGGGAAGTGAGGGGGAGGACTGTGAGGGGGACTCATGGCCATGTGTCTTCCATTGTAACGAATTTTAAATGTAAACGCACGCTGTGTTCTTGATCAGCCCTTGTACACCAGCATGTGCTGCTGAAGAGCATTTCACGGATGTGCCTTCCGTGAACTGTGATGGTTTCGTGTCAGTGCTATGAACCAAGAACTGGCAAAATGTGGCCCTTGGGCCCAATATGGCCAGGCGCCCTCGTTGGCAAACCTGTAGCGTCAGACCCAGGTGCGCTGTCTGCCCACGCGTGTCTGCTGCAGCGTGGGAACCTGTGCGTGATAGGCTGGCGCCTGAGGGAAAGTGCGCTGAGGAGGGGACATAGGACTGAGAAGCCGCTGTCAGACAGGGAGCAGTCCCAAGCCTTCGGCCTCGGGGGAGAAGCTGACGCCCCCGCCACTTGGGTCAGAGAGCAATGACGGGAAGAGCAGGGCCGCTGTCCCAGGAGGCTGAGGCCCCCGTGAGCCGGGCAGGCCGGTGGGAGGTGACCGGGGACAGTGCGGGTGAGGTGTGGAAGCGCTGGAGTCTCACAGGGCTTCAGACCTGGGTTTCTACCATCCGTCAGGATCTGCTCCCTTAGGCCAAGGAGAGTGGCTTCGAGGCTGCTCTTGACCTCCGAGACTGCTCACTGCTTCTCCGAGGTGGGGCGGCTCCCAACTGCACTCTCAGGTGGCACCATGGTGCCCTCTCCCCACGACCAGCACACACCATAGTGGGCACAGCTGCAGCGGGGACATTCCCCAGGGAGAGTCAGGAAGATGCATCTCCCTGGGCTCCACCTGGGACACTGTGGGGACAGTAGCTCGGGCCGCTCAAGCACCAAGGTGTGCCGAAGCAGGCACACACACACGCAGCCTGCCTCACTTCTGTGGGGTGGAGAGGGCACGGAGACACCTGGTGGTGACAGGACCATGGCTCCATCTCCGCACAATCCAAGGAGACCCTCGCTTGCTGGCCACATGCAGGACAGACGTGGCCAGGGAGATTCTACCCTGGGAGTGCAGGAGATCAAGCAAGAGGTCAGCAACCAAGGATAGAAGAGGAGCTGCGCTCCTAGCGGGGGAGCCCTCAGGAGCAGCATGGTCCAAGGAAGGTGACCGGTGACAAAGGACAGCCAGGAGGTGGGGACAGGGAGAACCTCGGCCCATTGGTCTGCAGCATGGTTGAGGGGGCACCAGGTGGCCAGAGGATGGAAGGGATGTTTGGGACGTGTCCACTGCCATGGGAGGCCACCGGGGTAGGAGGGGCAGGGTGCATACTCCCTGGGGCCTCGCACACACCTGGACTTCCTCTTTCTGTCCTTGGAGCCATCCAGTTGGTGGATTTTGTGTCAGTCCAAGGAGGGGGCAGAGGTGTCAAGCAGCCCCTCAGCTGGGTCCCTCCAAGCCACGGGAGGGAGGTGGGACTTTAGTCCTTGCGCACAGGGTGCCCGGAGGTCCTGAGGTCACATGATCTGCAGTCAGAGCTGCCCTGTGGCTGCCTGGCTGCACCCCTGGGCACTCTGGGGACAGGGGGCTGTGGGGCTGGCGGGGGCCCACAAGCTCCTAAGTCCCCTCGGGCCAGTGGCATTTTGCTCCGGAGCTCGCCCTGCCTGGAGGCCCACACTGCTTCGCTGACCCTGGGCTCCAGGCCTGGGAGTGCTGCTTCCCAGCTTCTGCTCCTCCTCCTTCAGAGGAAAACAAATGCTGCCTCAATGCCCAAAAGCTGGGAGAGAGCGCGCGAGTGAGAGCGGGAGAGAAGGCTGGGTGGGAGACGAAGGGAAGGGCGGTGACCTTTCAGGCGGGAGGGGACCTGCGGGCGCAGGGGGAGAGGCAGAGGACCGAGGAGGGGAAGGGAGGAGGTCAGACTGGACACCAAGCAGCGCCCCAGGAGGAGTGTGCCTCCTGTATTACAGCACGTGTGGATGGGTGACAAACAAACTCACAAGGGGGGAAAGAAACCTGAATCAACTTAGCAAAGCAGAGAGACAGGAGCAAGTGGTGGCTGGCAGCATAAAAAATAACACGGCAGGGAAGGAAAAGGCAGCCTCTGTCCTCTGACCTCAGCCAGGCCAGACCCTGAGGGCTGGGGAGGGGCGGGCATGAGGCCACACTGCACCCGACGGGACGGAGCTCCTCCCGCTCCTGCGCCCTCCGGCCTCTCCCGTGGTGGAAGTCAGCGTGGACAGCGGTCCATCTGTCTGTACCTTCCTGTTCTCCACCAGCAAGGAGCTCAGTTTCAGAAACCAAGAGCAACACCGAGGCCTTGAATTTTCTGGGATGCTTAGCCCTGGAAGTCACGCTTTCTCAGGGAGCAGTGTTAGGGTTAGGTCTAAGCGTCTCATGTGTGAGGAAACGATGGGCTCGTGAGGGTGCTGTACTCATCCATGGATTCATCCACTGACCAGTGCAGGCGCCTAATGTGCAGTAGGAGGAGGCCCGCTCGGAGGGGGCCCCCAGGGTGTGGCCTGGAAGAGTGCTGTGTCCTTGTCCTCAGCTCTTCCTTTCTTTTTGCCTTCTGGCCACTGTGAGGTGAGCAGCTGTCCTCCCCAGGCCCTTCCGCCATGCTGCTTCTGCCCTGGAGCCGGCCAACCATGGACTGAACCCACAGCAGCACACAAACCAAGCAAACCTCTCCTCTTCCAAGTTACAGCTGGGGGCTTTGGTGAGGGCTGTGAGCCTCCAGCGTGCCCACCCCGATGATGGAGGTGGGGAATTCATGCCCCTTGTGCTGCCCAGAGCACCTTAGACTTCTGTACAGTAAGACAGGCCATGGGGGATGGGTGCCCCAAGATCTGGTCACCTTCTTCTTTTCCTTTTCTTGTGGTAGGGGGATTGAACCCAGAGCCTTCACATCAAGCTGTGTCCCCAGCTATTTTTTTAGTTCTTATGTTTTTAAGACAGGGTCTCGCTAGTTGCTAAGCTGCCCCAGCTGGGCTTGAACTTGGGGTTTCCCTGCTTCAGCTCCCAGAGTGCTGGGATGAGAGATGTGCACCACACCTTGGTCCTCTCCTTAAAGTCTCCTGGGAGCCCTGGGGTGGACACCTGGCTGTACCGGGACAAGTAGACCCCTCAGCCATCCCACGTCTCCTAAGGGGCTGGGGACAGAGGCCAGAAAAGGCTTCTGTCACACGGGCTGGACTCACAGCAGCATAAGAAGTCATGCAATTGACAAACAGCATGCACCATCTGCCTCCTGCCTGTGACCGCCTCCTCAGCACCTCTCCACCCTCACCTTCTCATCTTGAGAACAGGAAAACGAATTCCTTGCGGTCTTTCTTACCAGATGTGCCGCTCCCAATTCTGCAGAGCTCTTGGGCTTGTGCAGAAGAAAAAATAAGCGTGAAAAGCAAAACCATAAAACCTCAAGCAAATCAAAATCCACGGTGAACAAGTGACAGGATCTGTCTTTGGGAAAAGACCTTTCACCATAGGCTCGGAGGGAAACAGAGGTCTGTCTCCCCAGCACGCTGCCTTTGTCACGGTCAGCATGTGCCCTTCAGCGCTGGCCCAGAAATCTCCATCCACGCTTACTGCTGGACGGTTACCATGGCGAAGCTCGAGCTGGACGAGGCAGAATGTCTTGGGGAGGAGCCCTCAGGCGAGGCCTCAGCATTGCCAGAGAGATGGTGGCCACAGTGTCAGAGCCACGGGCGTGTGAGCGGCATTCAGGCACAACCTTTCCCAGCAGTCACAAGGGGCGCAGGGCGCGCGCCCGGTCTGGGCCTGGACCCCAGGCCCCGTGTGTGAGCGATGCCCCACTGGCATGAGACCTGACAGGGGAGCGGGGCCCAGGCAGGCCACCGTCTTCATGCCACGTGTGCACGAGTAACCGGACATGAGTGCTTCAGCCGTGGCTGCCGTGGGAGCAGCGAGG